TCTCTGGCTGAGCAGGAGAGTGGAGAGAGTGCAGCTTGCCTAAGGGAAACTGAGATGGGCTCCCTGCCCACCCTAATCCCCCTGTTCCGGACCCACAGCCACTGACAGATCAGATAGGGCACGTTCCTGCATCGAGCTGCCCACTTACTGGGACCGTGCTGACGCAGGCAAAGAAATATTAACCCGGCAGAATGGTTGCATGTTCACGTGTGCGTAACTCGGGGAGTGTGTGTGTGTGTGTGTGTGTGTGTGTGTCTCACTACAGAGAGGCTTCCGCGTGCAAGATCAGACACACATAAGCAGATGCATGTGTGCGCACATACACACACACCCACACACCTGTCCATCCACACAGGCACATGCTCACATATAGGTATATACAAAGACACAAATGCTTCTCACACATGCAAATTTCTTCAGTGTTGTCTCCCTGGCTGCTTCCGTTAATAAGACCCCTCTTCCTTCAGGAAGCCTTCCCTGATAGCTCCAGCTCATACTAGAAAGTGACAAGCCTGAGCTCAATCCCTGGTTTCAGGCAGCTGAATATAGGCTCTTTTAGGACGGAGTAGGCTGAGGGTGGAATTCTGGGTTCTCGACTTCAGGGGATCTTCGCCCTTGCACAAGCGGCTGTGCCTGATCCTGTCTGCCTTGGTCTCCATCTGCCCTGTCCTGAAAGCCCGTGGATGACTCTGAGAAGGATGAGAGCCTGGGCGGGGGGTGAGGGGGAGTTCTGGTAATTTGTGGGTGTGAGAGTTAAAGACCTTCCTGGGTCCTACCTGTGCCCTTGCCCCTCCCCGGCCTCGCCACCTAGTAGGGGAGCCAGAGCCCTGGTCTGGATGTTCTAGTTCTAGGTGATCTTGGGCAAGTTGTTACCTTGCTCTGAATCTATTTTCCTACCCGAAAAATGAGTTTGGAAGGAGACACTTACCTGGGTGGGACTTAAGTGTCTTTTCTTTTTGGGACATTCTGAGAACGTTCATGGCTTCAGATGATTTGAGAGAGACCAGGGCTCCTTGAGGGACCTACCCTGCCCTCCTACCCCCAACCCCTGTGCCTGGAGCCAGAGTAGCTCCTTCCTTACTTGTTTATACCATGGACTCCTGAGTTATGCAAAGGATTCCGTGGCTCGAAAGAGTCAGAAAAAACACAAGTGTAAAACAATGTAATGAAAAGCAGGTTTTGTGATAAGTTAATCCAATGGCATGTTGATTGAAACAAATAATTTAATAAAAATGTTTCTTTTGTGTGTGTATATCAACACTTTGGGGAACATTTGAGGGCAGTTTTTAGCATCTTTAGTCATTTTTGTTTCTTCATTCTGATATTTTAAAATTTCATTTTCATTTTCATTCTTTATTGAGTTTCAGCCAATTGTGTTTATCCCATCCTGTTCATAAAAGAGAAGAGCTGGGTCCGTTTAAAATTGGAGACAATCTAAACACCCATCAATAGAAGGATTCCGCATGATATAATCTCCATCAGGTGGAATGCTGTACAACAGGCATGAGGTGGACATGGACCTACTGGCACAGAAAGATATTCTTGACCAACGTTTGAATGAAAAAAGTATTTTAGGCAGGGCGCAGTGGCTCATGCCTGTAATCCCAGCACTTTGGGAGGCCGAGGCGGGTGGATCACCTGAAGTCAGAAGTTTGAGACCAGCCTGGCCAACATGGTGAAACCCCATCTCTACTAAAAATATAAAAATTAGCTGGGCATAGTGGTGCATGCCTGTAATCCCAGCTACTCGGGAGGCTGAGGCAAGAGAATTACTTGAACCCCAGGAGGCGGAGGTTGCAGTGAGCTGAGATGGCGCCACCGCATTCTAGCACTCCAGTGACAACAGCGAAACTCCATCTCAAAAAAAAAAAAAAAAAAGAAAGAAAGAAAAAGAAAAAAGCAAAAAGCATTTTCTTTTGTTCTTATATGTATTTATTTATTTTGAGACAGAGTCTCACTCTGTCACCCAGGCTGGAGTGCAGTGGCGCCATCTCAGCTCACTGCAACCTCCGCCTCCTGGGGTTCAAGTAATTCTCCTGTCTCAGCCTCCTGACGTAGCTGGGATTGCAGATGCCTGCCACCATACCCGGCTAATTTTTGTATTTTTAGTAGAGGTGGGGTTTCACCATGTTGGCCAGGCTGTTCTCAAACTCCTGACTTCGAGTGATCCACCAACCTCAGCCTCCCAAAGTGTTAGGATTACAAGAGTGAGCCAATGTGCCCGGCTATATTTTTATTTGCTAAAAATAAAACCATGTGTGTGTGTGTCCTGGACAGTCACAGTTTAAGCATCAAGAGGGCCTGAGGTTAGACTAAAGGTATACCGGGTATAAGGTTGTGTCAAATATTGTTTCTTTGAAATTCAAATTTAACTGGGCATCTTATATTTTATCTGCTAACTCTACTGAAGCCCATCCTATGAAGAAAGGACCCCAGGTGTTCCCTCTCTGCCCCACCCCCATCTTCACTGGCTCAGAGACCCCCCGCAAGCTCTGTGCAGACTAACATGCTTCACGGCTCTGACCCAAACTCCCACCTTGGTGGCCCCTTTAGCTGCCACTCTTCTCGCTGCAGTTGAACTTTCTGCCTCCTCAGCCTCAGCTTCTTCAGCGCTGTTGCCACCCTCTATCCCCACCAGCTCATCCAGGCAGCTGTATGCAAACACCTGCCTGGCCAGCCCCTCCCAGCACCCAACTCTGGGGCAACAGCCCCCTACTGGCTCCTGTCAGTCTCTGGGCAGCCCTGTGTCTGGGTTTTCAGCTCCTTCCCCACCCACTCGTTCATCATCCCTGTTCCCCAGAATCCTGACCCTGGCCCCTGCCTCACTCCCTGTGCTTCTTGGGTAGCCCCAGCGACTCTAGTGCTGAAGCCCAGGGGCTGATCTCCTCTTCTCTTTCTCCAGCTAGACCCCTCCCCGAGCGCAGGCCCAACTGTGCCTCTGCCTGCTGGATGCCCTGGGACCTCGGGGACCTCAGGTTGACCCCATTGCTCTTCTCTTTATTAAGAACCCTTTGAAGGCTCCTCAGGCCCTTGGGTTAAAGTCTGAACTCCTGGGCCTGGCCGACAAAGCCCTTCATGGTCTACCCCTGCCCATTTCCACAGCCCTCTGCAAGTCACTCACAGCTCCCAGGTTTTCTCACAATCCCATCAAGCTTCAAATGCCACGGTGTCCTTCCTCCCCCTGCTCGTTTTGGAAAACTCAGTTCCCATGTCACCTCTTCCGGAAGACCCTTGACCCCTCGAGCTTGGGCTAGCCCTGTCTGTATTCCTTCCAGCTTATCTGGTGTGTCCTAAGTCACCTGCTGCTTACCTGTCTCTGCCATGAGACAGACAGGACTGTGTCTTCTCCACCTCTCAGTCCCCAGGGTCAAGTCCTGTAAATGAGCTTAGGGTCTGATCTGCGACCCCAGCATGGATCCCAATTCCCTCCCTCACCAACCTGACACCAGTCCAGTTCAACTCTGAAGTGCTGACCTCATCCAAGACCCCAGATCCACTTCTGACATGACCTCATCCCGGCCGTGGGAGCACACATGGGAAAGGAATAAAGGCAGGGCTCTCCCATTTCCAGGCGTGCACCCCTCCCTTCCTGAGGAAGAGAGACTGAGTCTCAAGCCCACGTACAATCTGCAGAGGGAGGCTGGGTGCAGTGGCTCACACCTATAATCCTAGCACTTTGGGAGGCCGAGACGGATGGATTCCCTGAGGTCAGGAGTTTGAGACCAGCCTGACCAACATGGTGACACCCCGTCTTTACTAAAAACACAAAAAACAGCTAGGCTTGGTGGCGCACACCTGTAATCCCAACTACTTGGGAGGCTGAGGCAGGAGAATCACTTGAACCCATGAGGCAGAGATTGTGGTGAGACAAGATCGTGCCACTGCACTCCAGCCTGGGTGGAGCGGGACTCCATCTCAAAAAAAACAAAAAATCTGCAGAGGGAAGTTAGTGCCTTACAGAGGGCTTCTGACTAGGAAGCCCCGGGACTGCGGCCAACCCCTTCCTCTCCCCGCCTCACCCCTGCAGAAAGACCTGCAGAAAAAGCTGGAAGGGGTGGGAGAGTGTGTGGGGGCTATGCAGGTTCCAGACCTGGTCTTTGGCACCCTCTACAGGACAGTTCCATTCCCACACCTGGGCTTTGGACAACTGAATCCTATGCCTTTTCCCACCCATGGAGCCTGGCCCCAGAAGTTCTCAGGACTTACCCACCATCCACCATGCCACACAGCAAGTGTCCTCAGAGTCTGCAGACCAGAAACACCTCCCTCGTGTCTCAGCACTGGGCCACCTGCTGAAACCCCGAACTGCCTGCCCCATTGTTTGAGACCTAGTCAGGCCCTGGCTCCAAAAGTCCTCTTGGACTGCCACTGGTCCCCAGGGTCTCTCCTGACCGCACCTCGGTCCCGGAGCTCCCATGCTGCTGAGCCCCGAACCCCACGCCCCGATCCAGCTCTGGCTCCTTCACAGAGGCCCTGCTGACCTTTCCTAAGGGAGGTGTTTTCCTGAGGACAGGGTCTAGGTTTCCACCTGCTCCTCGGACTAGGGGCCCTCAGAGGGGCCAGGCCTGGGCTTCTACCTCCTCCATCAGGCTCGTGTTTCTCTGCAAATATGGCTTGTGTGTCCTCCTTCCTCTCAGACTGGGGGCCCTGAGGACTGGGCCTGAGTCTCCCTTTCCCCCTTCAGAATGGGGCTCCCTGAGGACTGATCCACGGCCTCCCCGCGTCCCCTCCACCTGGCTGTTGATCTCCAACACTTCCACCTCCAGTCCTATTCTGCACAGCTCTCCCCAACTCTGGGGGCTCAAAGGCCTCTGCAGCCTTCCCAGGGCTGGGGCTTGGGGAGGGCTTCCTCAGGCGCTGCCCCAGAGTCAGGCTGCACATTGGCTTGGAGGACAGGCCTTTCCTCTGGGACTGTGAGGCCCAGAGTGCCCACCCGGATCTGCACCTCTGACCTCACAAAGGGCTGCTTCAGAACTCGGTCTCCATGGCACCGCTGGCCAGACGAGGGATGTTATTTTGGGCAGTGCATCCGGACTTGGCTCAAGTGGCACCAGCCAAACCCCAGCCTTACTGACCTCTCCCCTAGAGGAGCAGGAGCAGTGCTTGAGGCCGCCCTGGGAGGGCTGAGAGGCAGGCTCTGGACTGGGGACACAGGGATAGCCGAGCCCCAGCTGGGAGTGGAAGCTGAGCCAGGGACCGTCTGGGAGGAACAAGATCAAGATGCACTTTAACTGAGAAGCCCCCAAGGCAGAGGCTGAGAATCAGAAGGCATTTCAGCAGAGTGAGTGGGGCTCCAGGCAGGGTGGATGGGGCGGCCTCCTCAGTGCCCAGATCCGGAAGGGCCATTCCCTTGGTACCACACAGGGAGGAGGTGACTGTGGGATTGTTTGGGGAAGGAGCGCCGGCTGGGAGTGGAAGGCCTGGCTTTCTGGCTCTGGTGCAGTCCTGTGTTGCTGTGTGACACAGGCACACACACGCTCTCTCTAAGCCTCAGTTTCCTTACCTGTATACTGAGGACCAGCGGTAGAGCAGAGATGGCAGGGATGTGCTGGGCTGGGCTGTCAGCAGACCATGGGAGTGGGACGAGGAGAGAGCTGAAGACCACCGGCCGTGGACCACAGCGGGAGGAGTGCAGGCCAGAGATGGGTCAGCTGCCGGCTTGCTGCAGTTGTTCCTCCCGCGGAGTCCCCTCCTGCAGGGCTAGAGCTGGGGCTGGAGGGTTTCTGCAGTCAGGGCTGGGGATTAGAGTCTGTGCTGCAGCTAGAGGGAACTGAGTTAGAGAATGAGGAGGACAGACAGGGTGAGGGGACTTGGGGCTACCTTCATGCTGTCAATTAGAGAGAAAGATAGGAGTACAAAGGGGAATTTTTAGGCAAGGTACTGGGTGAAATGAGTTTTCAGAGCCTCATCCTGTGTGTTCACCTTCTGTGTGTATGTGTGTGTGTGCGCGCGCGCGTGTGCATGTGTGTGTGTGTGCAGGTCCTGGACAGTCACAGTTTAAGTTAGCAGCAAGTGGGCTTGAGGTTAAATGTATAGCACGCAAATACGAGACTGGAGCCACTGAGCACAGGCTGAGGGCATCTCCACAGTTCAAAGCCGGGCTGCAGACAGGGAAGGTCTGGAGGAGCACTGGAGGGTCTGGCCTGGGGTTGGGGTCCTGGGGCCAGCATGGGTGGGTGGGGCTCCAGGGCGTCACCTCATTGGCTGAGCACTGCTCCTCCCTCCCTGTTGCTTGGCTGGGTTCAGGGAGTGGCACTAGTAGGAGCTGCCCCAGGGCTTCTCCCCTGAGAGCCAAGGTCTGATAGAAGTGTGGGGCCAAGTTCTGTGTGCTCCAGCCATGGTGACCTCTCTTTGGCTCCTCAGCATCTACAAATCTGAAAGACAAAACATGGTTCAAACATCCAGGCACAGGCGGTAAGTACCCAACCCCCTTCTCCCCCTCTAACCCCCTGTCCTCCACCCAGCCCACTTCAGTGCCCTTCTTGCTCCACCCTCAGCCTCTTCCTTGGGGTAGCTGTCCCCCCTCTACCTCCTCTTCCCCACCCACCCACTCGCCTCTGAGGTCCCAGAAGAAGAGCATCTTACACCTGTTGCCTGGGCTGGGTCCTAGGGTGAGGGTAGGCTCAGAAAGCCTTGGATGAGGGTCAAGGCATGCAGGTGGCCTTCAACTCAACCGAACTCAGCACCTCTCACCCTCTCAGCCTCCGTTGTCTTTGGGGTGAACAAGAACCAGTCCTTGCAATGGCCAAGGCCCTGCCTATGTAGTCCTTGTTAGCTTTCTGGCCTCCCCACTCCAGCCCCCTGCTTTCCCTCCTCCAGCCACACTGAGCCACACCGAGTTTCTTTTCTGTTTTTTTTTTTTTTTTGAGACAGAATCCAACTCTGTCCCCCAGGCTGGAGTGCAATGGCGCGATCTTGGCTCACTGCAACCTCCGCGTCCCGGGTTCAAGTGATTCTCTTGCCTCAGCCTTCTGAGGAGCTGGGATTACAGGATTATAGACACATACTACCACGTCCAGCTAATTTTTTTTTTTTTTTTTTGTATTTTTAGTAGAAATGGGGTTTTGCCATGTTGGCCAGGCTGCTCTTGAACTCCTGACCTCAGGTGATCCACCTGCCTCGGTCTCCCAAAAGGTTGGAATTACAGGCGTGAGCCACTGCACCCGGCCTCACACTGACTTTCTTTGCTTTCTTCAAATATCCTGGGAGTCCTCTGATGACTGTTCCCTCCACCTGAGGGGCTTTCTGCAGTTAACATACAGCCCACTCTCATCTCCTTCATGGCTTTGCTCCAACGCCACCTTCTCAACAAGGATTACTCTGACTGCCCTATTTGAAATCACATCCCATCTCCAGCCCCTGCAATCCCAATTCCCCTCTCCTTGCTCTGTTTTTTCCATACGAGCTGGTACCTTCTCTTATACAAATGTACTTGCTTATTACACTTCATTGCTGTCAGATCCACACGAGCAGGGATATTGGGCTGTTGTACACTTGGAAGGAGAGAACGAATAATGCCCCTCTGTTGATATCACTGCCTCCAGCCTATGTCTCTCTCCAGGGCTTTAGATCCTGTTTCTAGAGACCCACTGGTGTCTCAGAGGCAACTCAGCTCCTAGATGGAAACGGCCTCCTCTGCCCCCTTCAAGTTCACTCCTCCTGTGCTCTTGGCTCAGTCAGGGGCCCCATTCTCCTCAGTTGCTCAAGCCAGAAGTCCAGGTCATATCCTTGATACTTCCCTCTCCCCTATGTCTCATATCCAGTCACCAATCTCCTAAAATATCTAGAATGTGCACAGCTTCCACCATTCTTTCTACCACCAGCCTACTCTCCCATGGCCATGTCAGGCCACCACCCGCCCATTCTTCAAAACCTCCTTCAGGCCCCACCTCCCACGCCTCCCCTGAGCTCCCCCAGTCCCAGGCTGCTTCTCTCTGCTGGTGTTGTCATTACCCATCTCTCCCATTAAACAGAGTGACCCAAGGGTGGAGAGTGGGTTTTAACTTTGTATTCCTGGTGCTTGACTCGTAAGTAGGTGCTCAACAAAAAAAAATTTTTTTTTCTTTTTTGAGACAGAGTCTTGCTCTGTTGCCCAGGCTGGAGTGCAGTGGTGCGATCTCGGCTCACTGCAACTTCTGCTTCTTGGGTTCAAGTGATTCTCACGTCTCAGCCCCCCAGCTGGGATTACAGGCACTTGCCACCAAGCCCAGCTATTTTTTTTTATTTTTATTTTTAGTGGAAATGGGGTTTTGCCATGTTGGCCAGGCTAGTCTTGAACTCCTGACCTCAAGTGATCCACCTGCCTCGGCCTCCCAAAGTGTTCGGATTACAGGCGTGAGCCACCATGCCTGGACAACAAATGTTTGTTGAATGAAGAAATGTTGGTTAGCAGGTTGAATTGTTGGCTTGTGGTTAGTTGGATAGGTTATGGTTGACCGGTTGATTCGATAATTAAATGAGTTAATAGCTGGTTAACAGGAGAATCAGTTAGTTGGTTTTTGATAGATTAGTCAAAGGGTTAGTAAGCCACCGGGCGTGGTGGCTCACACCTGAATTCCCAGCACCTTGGGAGGCTGAGGCGGGAGGATTGCTTGAGTCCAGGAGTTTGGGACCAGCTTGGGCAACATGGCCAAACCCCATCTCTACAAAAAATAGAAAAAAAATAGCCGGGCATGGTGCGTGCTCCTGTAGTCCCCGCTACTTGGGAGGCTGAGGTGGCAGGATCGCTTGAACCCTGGGAAGTCTAGGCTGCAGTGAGCTGGGACTGTGCCACTGCACTCCAGCCTGGGCGACAGAGTGAGACCCTGTCTCAAAAAAGGAAAGGAAAAGAAAATAAACAAGCGTTAGTGAGTTGTTAGCTATTTAGTTCCTTGGTTAGCAGATTACTTAGGGGATCTGGTTGGCTGTCAGTTCCTTGCTTTGTAGGCTGACTTTCTTGGGCCCGTCTTCTTAGTCTGTACCCTCTCCTTGAGCTCTGTCGTCTGTGTCCATGGCTCAGAGGACCATCTGTGATTTGCTGACCTCCACATGTGTCTGTAAGTGAGACCACATGACCAGCTGCCTCCTCACTGGCCATCCCACCCAGGTGTCCAGCGGGCTTCTCACACTCAGCATGTCCAGAAAGGGCCTCCTCGTCCGTTCTCCCGCAGCTTCTCTGCTGCGCCCCACACTAGTCATTCCGCTGCCCTAGCCAGGACCTGAGGGCGTCGCTGAGCTGCCCCGCTCCCTTCCCTCTCTAACCGAACACCAATCCTGTCAGCTTGACTGTGCTCTTGTGGCCGTTGGCACTGCCATCTCTGTGGCGCAGGCTGCCACCACTTCTCTACTAGTCTGTGGAGAAGCTGATGCTCACCCTGCCTTAACTCCACTTCCTCCATCCTGGCCTCCACAGGGGAGGCAGCTCTCTTGCTGAAATCCTCCAGTTGGCCCATGGCCCTCTGGTAGAGTTCAGACTCCCTAATGTGGGCCATGGGGCCTTCTGCCACCTGGCTCTGGCCCCTCTCTGCCCATCTCATGCCACCTCCACTCCTCTGTGGCCAACCCATTCCTGCACATTGGATACTGCCTTAGCTGCAGGCCTTTGCACATGGCAGTCCTATGCCCAGAATGATCCCTGCCTCCCTGGAGGCTCCTTTACCCGCCAGCCTTCTTTTCTTGACCTAGATTTCCTTTTCTCTGGGAGCCTCCTACCCCCTCCTCTAGGCCATTCGCTTCCTGCACATGCCCAATGGTGCCCCTCTTCCAGCTGGGGCAGTGCTCATCACACTGCACAGTAATTGCTCAATCGATTGCTTTTCTTCCCACAGGCTGGGATCATACCAGTGTCCCTGACTGCAGCGCCTGAACATTCTAGGCGTAGTAGATTCAAGAAATCTTGAGTTCATTGGCTGGTCGGTGGTTATCTGTTGGTTACTGTGTCTTGCCTGCTGTGTGGTGATGAGGAAGGAGCCAGGCTTCCAGGATCCTCTTGGTGTTCTTAGCTTTCTGCTCTGTCCACTTCTCTCCCCTCTTCTGTGGTTGCCTCCAACACTGGAGCTGGGGTTAGATGGGGGCCAGTGGAGGGTCACCTCACACTGCTAGGGAGAGCAGCAGCATTCCTCGGGACTCCTAAATTCCCCTGGCCTCACAGCAGCAAAAAGTAAGCAGAGGGAATGAGAGATGTCCAGGCATGGAATAAAACATCTTCCACTTTTCAGCTGAGACCCTCTGTTCATAGCTCACCCATCCCAGTCCTTGCTCTATTCCTTGCCCCAGAAAAACAAAACAAGGGATGAATAGATGGAGGGGGATGCAGAGTTGCGTGGATAATCCACTGGTCCCCATCCAACTCCAGCTCCCATGCAGCATCGTATAGGGGTCTCATTATCCCATGGCCAGCCTCCTCAGCCCTGAAGAAGAGACCCTGCCAAGGCAAGCAACAGCCCAAAGACAGTCCTGGGAAGGTACCATAGAAGCAGGGGAGAGGTGGACAGAGCAGGAAACCCAGAACACCAAGGGAATCCTGGAAGCCTGGCTCCTTTCTCATCAGCACACAGCAGGCAACGCCCAGCCAATGAACCAAAGATTTATTGAATCTACTATGCCTACTGTGTTCAGGCACTGCAGTGAAGGAAACTGGTATGATCCCAGCCCTTAGGAAGAAAAACAGTTAATTAATTAAGCTTTTTTTTTTTTTTTTTTTGAGACAGGGTCTCACTCTGTCACCCATGCTGGAGTGCAGTGGTGTGATCTCAGCTCACTGCAACCTCTGCCTTCCAGGCTCAAGCAATCTTCTCACCTCAGCCTCCCCAGTAGCTGGGACCACAGGCATGCACCACCACATCTGACTAATTTTTTTTTTTTTAATAAAGATAAGGTTTTGTCGTGCTGCCCAGGCTGGTCTTGAACTCCTGGGCTCAAGTGATCAGCTTGCCTCAGCTAGTCCTGGGATTACAGGCGTGAGCCACTGTGCCTGGCCTAATTGAGCAATTACATTGCAGTGTGATGAGCATTGCCCCAGCTGAAAGAGTGGGCACCATGGGGCATGTGGAGGAAGTGAATGGCCTAGAGGAGGGGGTAGGCCGCTCTCCCAGAGAAAGGGAAATTTAGGTCAAGGAAAGAAGGCTGGCAGGTAAAGGAGCCTCTGGGGACGCAGGGGACCATTTTGGGCGTAGGACTGGCATGTGCAAAGGCCTGCAGCTAAGGCAGTACGTGATGTGCAAGGATGGGCTGGCCAGAGGAGTTGAGGGGCTGGTGTCAGCTTCTGGGCATGCAGACAGTGAGAGAGCAGAGTGACTAGTCTAAACAAGCACTAAGGCCACACTTAGAGGTATCTGTATCCCTCTTCTTCCCCCCTACTTTTTTTCTTTTTTTGAGATGGAGTCTCCCTCTTGTTGCCCAGGCTGGAATGCAGTGGTGAGATCTTGGCTCACCGAAATCTCCGCCTCCCGTGTTCAAGCGATTCTCCTGCCTCAGCCTCTGAAGTAGCTGGGATTACAGGCATGTGCCACCATGCCTGGCTTATTTTGTATTTTTTAGTAGAGATGGGGTTTCTCCATGTTGGTCAGGCTGGTCTCGAACTCCCCACCTCAGGTGATCTGCCCACCGTGGCATCCCAAAGTGCTGAGATTATAGGCATGAGCCACTGGGCCCGGCCCCTCTTCTTCCTCTTTATCCTCCATCCCCACCCCACCACCTTCCCCAAACTCCAGTCCTATACCTCTCCCTATACGCAGATTTGGGACCTGTTACTCACTGTTTCATCTACCTGTCCATCTAATTGTGCACTTCACTAAATATATATTAAGTGTCAGGCACTTTGGGAAGCTTTGAGGATCTAGTTGAGAGTAAGACAGATTCCCCAGTTTTCACTCATTCAACAAATATTTATTGTACATCTACTACGGCCTGGCATTGTGCTAGGCACTGAAGATACACCAGGAAGTAAGATCCAGTCCTTCCTTTTCTCCCTCCCTCTCTCTTGATCATTCATTCACTCACTCACTCTCTCACAAACCTCTGTTTGCACTGACCTGGTTGCAGAGCCTGGTGCATTTTGCTGACCCCTTCATCTTTGACAGAACCTGGTACATGTTTCAGCGCTCAGTGCTGTTTATAGAGCTCGGCAGCAGACTTTGTCACACCTCATGCTGTTTGTAGAGTGCCTCACTGTTGCCAGGCCCTGGCCTGTGACCCCAAAGTTCTGGCTCTAGCAGATAGGCAGACAGACAGATGGATAGACATAGACAACTGAGCTCCACTTTCCAGTCTGCTCTCTCCTACCCTGCTTTTTCCCAGAGACTTGTTGGCATCGTGGATCGCACTTTCAGCTCCCCACCTGCCCCTCTGCAAAGTGGTTTCATTAGTGTGCCATTTTTACTGGTCCAGTCCCAACTAGAAGGAGCATGGCCTGGCTGTCTACCCCGTTCCTCTCCATGTCCCCATGGCTCTCAAGTGTCTCCAATTCCAGCTGGCCCAGCTGCCCTGGGCAAGAGGAGGTGTGCGTGGTGAGGCTGCTGGGTTACCCATTAACTCAGTTGTGAGTTGAAGAGCCGATGGGCAGCAGGCAGACTTGAGTCTCCTTTCTGTCCATGGGCTCGGGTCACTGTCTCAGGTCCACCCGTGGCTCCAAAATGGTCTCCTGGTCCGTGATAGCAAAGATCCAGGAAATACTGCAGAAGAAGATGGTGCGAGAGTTCCTGGCCGAGTTCATGAGCACGTATGTCATGATGGTGAGTGGGTGGGCAGCACGAAGTGGGTGGGGCTCCACCAGGGCCATCCATGACCCCCTCCCCATGCTGACCCTGTAAGTCACATTGTCCATTCCTTGCCTCTGAGCTGGGAGCCAGGGGAAGCAGCAGAGGAAAGTAAAGAGGTGGGGGGCCTTTCTCATCAAGTCTATTTGGACAGAAAGGCTCATAATATGTGGGGGTCGAATGAAACCATGCACTGGGGTATCAGGGGCATGGCTGGAAATGGGGAGAAGGGAAACCCAGGGTGAAGAGATTGAAGAGGCCCAGGTGCAGTGGCTCATGCCTGTAGTCTCAGCACTTTGGGAGGCTGAGGCAGGTGGATCACCTGAGGTCAGGAGTTTGAAACCTGCCTGGCCAACATGGTGAAACCCCGTCTCTACTAAAAATACAAAAATTAGCTGGGCATGGTGGTGGACGCCTGTAATCTCAGCTATTCAGAGGCTGAGGCAGGAGAATCACTTGAACCTAGAAGGCAGAGGTTGGAGTGAGCTGAAAT